GAAGAAACAAGCACTGCCAGTTCCACAACAGGACTAGACATGACCTATCGGGGTGTAAGGCATTTGCAGCTAAAACTCTAGAGGAACGCACACAGTGGATAAAGGACGCGCGCTTGTGCTTTCGATGTTTCAGCCCCGCCCATATCGCAAGCCGTTGTAACGTCCCGCTAAGGTGTACTATTTGTGGAGACAGGCGCCATAATGCCTTACTGCATAAGGAGAGGCAACTGCCCCCCAAATCGGAGCCTAAATCGGAGAACGAAGGAGTCAACCCGAAATGCACCACGCTCTGTGGACCGGCGGGAGGTGAGTAGCCCCCTCGTCACCGGCGAGTTAGCTGACTACCTTGGAGCAAGCGGACCCCCGGAGAAATACTTCCTGTCCACATGCAGTGGGGAGAAAGAGGAGAAGCACGGTCGGCGGGTACCAGGGATTACAGTGCGCTCGCTCAGCGGACCAGAGTTCCCATTGCCAACTCTCACCGAGTGCGACACAATCCCTCAAGACAAGAGCGAGATTCCCACTCCGGACATGGCAAAAAGTTTCCCACATCTAATCGACATAGCACACGAGATACCTTCCCTAGACGAGTCCGCAAAGGTTCAGCTGCTGATCGGTCGGGACGCGCCCGAGCTGTTGAAAGTCAGAGAATTTAGAAACGGCCCAAGAGGAGCCCCCTGGGCGCAACGACTAGCCCTCGGATGGACTATCAGCGGTCAGATGTGCCTCGATTTCCCAAGCGGGCCTGCACATGTTCTCACCCGCCTCACCAGCTTGTCCGCCGCCGCGGAGAGAATCCGAGAGACTGGAGACAAGAACTACGAGCTGGTTCCCTGTCCAAACCAATTCAAGGTCGAGGACCCAATCCTGGAGCATGTTACCGACAGCATCTTCAAGACTACGCGAAGCGACAACGAACCTAGTCTCTCTCGCGAAGACCGTTTGTTTCTGGAGATCATAGAGGCAGGAATACACAAGAACGAGAGTGGTAACTGGGAGATGCCGCTACCATTTCGTGATAAGTTCCAAACCATGCCGAAAAACCGCGTCCAAGCCATGCAACGCTTACAAGGGCTTCTGAAGACGTTCGCCAGGAAACCAAAAATGAGAGCAGATTGCCTGGAGTTCATGGGAAAGATTATTGAGAAGGGCCACGCCTCCCAGATTCCACTTGTGGAAGCCCCACCTCCCCCTGGCCGTTCCTGGTATTTACCGCATTTCGCAACATATCATAACACAAAGCACGCTATCCGAGTGGTGTTCGACTCCAGTATCGAGTTTTAAGGGGTTTCACTGTACAAAGTGTTTTTACCTGGCCCTGACCTGATGAACAATCTCATTGGCGTACTAATGCGGTTCCGCAAGGAGAAAATCGCTGTAATGTGCGACGTGGAGCAGATGTTTCACTCGTTCTATGTCGACCCAGCACATAGGGACTTCCTTCGTTTCCTATGGTTCGAAGGCAACGATCCATCAAAGCCCATAACGGAGTATAGAATGAACGTGCACCTGTTCGGCAACGGGCCCAGTCCCGCAGTCGCCACTTACGGACTTCGCAGAACGGCGTCCAACGGCGAGGAGGAGTACGGCGTGGAGGCCAAGAGATTTATTCACCGCAACTTCTACGTCGACGACGGCTTAGTTTCCATAACGAACACTCAACAAGCAATAGAGTTAGTGAAAAATGCACAGGCCTCACTAGTCACCGCTAACCTACGTCTTCACAAAGTCGTCTCGAACTCAGTAGAGGTCATGGAGGCCTTTCCCACCGAAGATCGAGCTAAGGACGTGCGTGACCTAGATCTGCGTCACGACAATCTTCCAGCGCAGCGATCACTCGGAGTCTTCTGGAATCTGGAGATGGACGCCTTCACCTTTAAAGTGACCCTGCCGGAAAAGCCGTTCACCAGGAGAGGAGTCCTGTCCATTGTCAATTCAGTGTATGACCCGCTCGGTTTCGCAGTGCCAGTCATGCTCGATGGGAGAAAGATACTTCAGCAGCTCGTAGCCATGGGCCACCGGACCAGCCGGAACAACACCCCACTGGACTGGGACGACCCCCTCCCTGCCGCAATGATGAACCGGTGGATGCGCTGGAGAGATTCTCTCACGGAGTTACAGCGCCTGCTCGTTCCTCGTTGTTACCACCCGAAGGATTTCGGCACGGTAGCCAAAGCGGAACTGCATGTCTTCTCCGACGCCAGTCAAGACGCTATAGGAGCAGCTGTTTATCTTCGCCAGTTTAACAAAGCGAACGAAGAGTCCACTTCTCTCGTCTAAGGCCAAGCCAGAGTTGCCCCAGCGCACCCGACAAGCATCCCTCGACTGGAACTATGCGTAGCAGTACTAGCCGTGCAAGCAGCTCAAGAGGTCCTCAAGGAGATCGATATGGAGATCGCTGGTGTAGCGTACTACACCGACTCAAAAGTAGTACTAGGCTACATTACGAACGAGAGCCGTCGTTTCTACGTCTACGTAGCCAACCGAGTACAGATGATTAGAAGTTTATCTACCCCTGAGCAGTGGAGATATGTAGAGAGTGAACGAAACCCCGCGGACTTAGCGACGCGCGGCGTGACCCCCCATTAAGCTAATGGAAACGAGCTGGCTCACCGGCCCGGAATACCTCAGAAAACCAGAGGGTACCCCTCAAGCAGATGAAACATTCGAACTCAGCGCAAGGGACCTTGAAGTCCGCAAAGGAGTGTTCAGCGCCAAAGTGAAGACAACTAAAGAAAGGAGGTCGGACCTTGGAGCAGAAAGGTTTGAGAAGTTTTCCTCGCTGAAATCTCTGCAACGAGCGATCGCAAATCTAATCGTTGTAGTCAGAGAATTTAAGCGCCGGAGAGATGACGAAGCGACATCGGCCAAACCGAGGAGTAAACCAGATAAAGTACAAGGAAAACTCAGACCACCAACCTTGGAAGAGTACGATCAAGCCCTGCGTATCGTAATCAGCACCACGCAGAAAGCGGCATTTGGTGAGCTACTAACAACTGCAAGAATTGAGCCTGAGCTATCGAGGGAAGCCGAGAGTAGTGCCAAGAAAGCTCTCAAGGGATCGCAACTGTACCGTCTCCTCCCGTTCCTTGATGGCGACGGAATTCTGCGCGTCGGAGGCAGACTAAGAAGAGCAGAAATGGAGTACGGAGAGAAACACCCGATCGTGTTACCGAAGAATAACCATGTGTCACAGCTAGTAGCGAAACATTACCACCTCAAAGTTCACCACCAAGGGAGGCAAATTACTGGAGGAGCAATTCGGCAAGCAGGATTCTGGCTTGTTGGAGGTCACGATACTGTGACGAAGATCATTGGAGCCTGTGTTCCTTACAAGAAACTAAGAGGACCACCCCTGGTTCAGCGCATGGCAGACCTCCCGCCCGATAGAACCGAAGTCTACCCCCCCTTCACTAACGTGGGCTTCGACGTCTTTGGCCCCTGGACGGTGCAAACGCGGAAAACGAGAGGAGGAGCCGCGAATGCTAAGAGGTGGGGCCTAGTGTTTACATGCCTCAGCAGTAGAGCCATCCACATAGAGGTACTGGAGGCCATGGATGCCAGCGCATTTATCTGCGCGCTGAGGAGATTCTTCGCTTTACGCGGTCACGCCAAACTCTTTAGATGTGACCGTGGTACTAACTTCGTGGGAGCAAACACAGAGCTACAAGAAGCGGCGCCTGAGTTCGATGAGAAGAAGGTGGAGAAATTCGCGACGGAGCACGGATGCAAATGGGAGTTCAACCCTCCCCACGCATCACATTTCGGTGGCGTATGGGAGAAACAAATTGGCACCATACGACGTGTACTGGATGCTATGTTCGCTGAACTAGGCAAAACCCAACTTACGCACGAATTACTGGTCACGCTAATGGCCGAAGTGGTAGCCATAGTCAACGCCAGACCGATATCTGCACTGCCATCCGACAATGACGATCTACAACCTCTGTCCCCTGCAATGCTACTCACGATGAAAACACGCCGAGCTGGACCCCCACCAGGCCAGTTCCTACGCGCCGACATCTATGCACGCCGTCGCTGGAGAAGGGTCCAGTTTCTAGCTGAGCAATTCTGGACAAGATGGCGACGAGAGTACTTACAAAGCCTACAGCCTCGACAGAAATGGACCGAGACGAGACGAGATTTACGCGTGGGGGACGTAGTGCTCGTGCGAGACGAGCAGCAGCATCGTAACAACTGGCCATTGGGAAGAGTAGGAGATGTGATACGAAGCGAGGACGACAGAGTTAGGAAAGTCAGGGTAGAGATCATCAAAGACGGAGAGAGGAAGGCGTATCTACGACCTATTAAGGAACTTATACTACTTCTGCCTGATGATGGAGCCGAACCAAACTATGAGTGACGTTAACACGAAGATTTAAAATAGCGGAGTAGCAAGGATTAGAATCCTTGGGCGAGGAGTGTCACGAGCGCTATATAAACTGTCATAAATAGTCCTTTATTTAGATCATTAGGAGATAAGTCTTTGCCGGTTTTGTTTAGGCCATCGCCGTCGCCTTTTTGATTACCCTAGTTTCCTTTCAATTATCAGTCAATTCTCTTTTCTTGGATAGAACACCTGTTAGCCATATGCTTCCTGTTTGGCGACGTTCCACCGTTGAACGCCCTTCGTTTGCCACATCATAAGGAACGCCACTTTTAACTTTAGCCAGTCGGAGTTACGTTGTCATAGGAGAAAGAGGTGATCGGAGTTTATTAGTAGTCAGTCTTTACACGCAACTATCGGAGTACCGTCGGAGCATTGGAGTTACCTTTTCCTTTTCAGCCTTTAACGCAGTACCGGACGTAAGTTCTACTCGTTTATATTCGCCTTTTGGTTTTTCCTTTAACCACGCCTTTGTAGATCTTGTAAATTTTAGCTCTCTTTTAATTATGTATTGTAATCTACTCTGTAGTTTTCTCCGCATATGTATAATATTTGGGCAAGTCGACCTTAATAAATACTGTGCAAGTAAAGGCTGTCCAATTGTTCCACATCGTGCGGTTGACGCTCGACGATCTCAACGCGCACCACGTGCCAGCTACTTGGGTTCGTTACAAAAGGAGAAAGTCACTCCAAAAAACGTGTCATAATTTTTTGTCAACGCTAATAAAAACCTTGCACTAAGTCTAGCCACTCACAGAAGTTTCAGCCTTTAAAGTGCAGGTTTTCCTCATGAATTCGTCTCCAAAGAAGCCCAAAATGGCGATGAATCCTAATATAAACCACGGGGCTTGTAGGCTTAGGTTCCCTCTCAAGAAACACCAGATGATTGATTTGAATAAAGTAATTAATGACAAGCCTTGTTTAATAGTTACCGATAATACATATATGCTTTAAGTTTTTTCCTAAAACATGCCAATGATAAGAACCAGAAATTTCAGGTGAAGGAGAATTAAAAAATTTAGGACCTCGATAGAATACGGAGAATTGCCGGATATTTGTGCTACATAATGGTAGACGAAAGGACTTTGCATGTTTTGTATTGTAACAATGGATTTGGTTGTTTATTGTCGGAATATGTTCTCAAATTATCGAGGGAAAATAGCGTTCTTAAACGAGAGCATCAACTGACCTAGATGCATTAAATGAATGTCTTGAAATATAGGCAAGTTAAGCTTCTTAAAACTTATGATAAGTTCTGTATGAGCATTATAATAGGACTTGTCCACCATCCGAATCACACGTTTTTGCAATATTACAATTCTTTGCAGATTAGTTTTATAAGTTGATCCCCAGACTAGATTACAATAATTAGGGTATGGAAGTATCATTGAGCTATACAGCATGCGTCAAGAGAAGCCGCCGAGAAGGTGTTGAAAGATAAAAACTAGATATAAAAATTATACCTATGGATTTAGATATTTTATCAGCTAGGCTAGATTTATGAGACTTCCAAGATAAGTTGTTATCTAAAACTACCCCAAGAAAGACTGTTTCATTGACCGGTGCAATGGTTCTCTCATTAATAACTACATTAAAGTTAGACGCAGACTTGTTTTGCCGTGGTTTAATTCTGCAAAATTTGTTTTAGTTAAGTTCAAAGAGTCCGTTTGTCCTGAACCAATTTGACAGTTCAATGAATTCACAGTTTAAGAGTACTAATTAGGATATCTGGGTCTTTGTGCGAGATGAATAAATTCGTGCCGTCTGCGAATAAGTTTGACTCGAGGTTTGAAACATTGTTCAAGTCATTTATGTATAGGATAAAAAATAGCGGGTCTAGAATTGACCCTTACGGAACCCCACAGTAGATCTAATGGGGGTTGATCTCAGTCCATTATATTCAACAAATGGTTTCCGACAAGCCTTTTAACTACCAGTCTGGGTCATGGCTGCTCTTGAGCCATATTATTTTGAGCCAAATATGCTCCAAACTCCGAAATGATAGCGTTGAAAATAGTGAAGTGGATAATCGTTTGGACAAAAATAGATTTTGCTGACCTTGTGAAGGATGCCAAGTCAGTTGCAGGTTTTTCCTCTTTCCCGACAATTTCGAGTCGGACGGAATGACGTCACATGACACGGCCTAGCTGCGACAAAATGGCGGAATCCGAAGTCGCTTCTTTCGAGACGAATTTCTTCAGGATAGCGGGAACTTAAGAGGCTAAAACTTCGGAGAGTAGAGAAGCTGAATGCTTACTTGCTATAGGCGAAGACAAAAAAAAGTAAGCTCTTTGGAGTGACCTTTTCCTTTGAACTAGCCTGTTTCAGGTGTTCAGTCAGTTGGGGTGCACCGAGAAAAGAGGAGAGCATAAAAAGGAAAGAGGGGTTTGCTGCGAGGAGCTTTCTCGCGTCGCACTCCTCGCTGTTTTCTCTCGCCGTTTTTTGCAAAAACCTGGAAGAGGCTTCTTGTAAACTGATTCAACCAAAATTATCGCTTGCGATGCTTGAAGGAGGACGCAACTCGAACCAGTGTCTACAACATCATATGTCCTTTGACGAGAATAACAAATAGTACACGTCTGCGCGCAGACTAGGCCACTGAATAAATATGTATTTTTCCTCAGCAGTGCACGTTCACAAAACGACTACTTGGACGTTACATAACATCTCAGAATAGAACTGTTTCCCACCAAAAGTCTCTGAGCGGGCTGAAATATATTACGTCATAACGTAACATACAGTGCACGGTCGCCGTTGCACGTGAATAGTCCTTTCCAATAATGCTTGGTTTCGCCGCGGGACTACTCCAGATTTCGTCGCGCGTCGCGCGAAGATTGCTCTCTCGATTCGCTCGAGGGAGACAAAAGCAAAGGTCGACTTACGGGCAAGTCTACACGTGAACAGAGCGTGAATTTATCATGAAGGTGGAATGACTATCAGCGCAGTTTTGAAAGCCACCCAAAAGAGTCAAAGTCCATACAGTTGTTTTCAAAGTTTTCAAAGTTGCTGACTTGCAAATGGCGACTGTTCCACGCTTTGGTGATGTGCCTCGACAAGAAATTGTCGGCCATGGGGCCTTGTGGAAGAGAAAGATTCAAAAAAAAGACAATTTCATTGGTGACAAAAACAGCCTTACCCACATTCAGAGCTTTCTGTGAAGGAAATTATCCTAAAAAATACCGCCATTTTGACGAAATTTCTAAAGAAGGTAGAACGAAACGAAATCCATGTTGATCTAGTTTTGAATTGTTGTGAGTTAATTCAAAGGAAAAAAACTTGAGGTCAGCACAAGAGGACAGCACTAACACAATCATTCGCTTTGCCCTGCAGCGATATTCCATCCCTTTTGAAAAGAGGTTTGACATCATTGCCAACCATGCTAGTTACGAAGTCTTACCGAGTCTATGAAGTGGTTGTGGTTCAACTTAAACGCCAAGGGTTTGTCAAAGTCAACCATCGTGAACCAATAAAGTAAGAGGACTTGGTGAAATTTTATTCGTCATATGATCAGTCATCACAAACACGAAGTCACTGTAGCACCTCGTTTGGCTTATCATAATTTAACAGAAGAAGAGGAACAGGAAGAGAGAATCTTCGCCTTCACACACGAACCATGTCGTTTGCAGTCAGAGTTTGCGCTGCCCAGTAGCTGGTTGAACACGACAGAAAGCACAGGCAAAAACTATGACCCGTTTGACTTTTCAGGGCATGGAATAACGTACAAAAAAACGCAAAAAACAGAGACAATCCAAACGTATTCGTAGTAAGGGCATGCATTTGATCTCATCAAAATTTCGTTCGTACACTCCTGTACTGTGGCAAACGCCCAGGTCTCTCGATAACTGACTTAAGTAAATCCGTTACTGTTTGATACTGCAATATTCCTCTAGCTAGGACAAATGGAACATTTTCTGTTGATTGTAAGTAAGTGAATGTCATAAACTCTTGTTGTAAGTTCTTTCAAGAGTACCACAGTTGTATGAGATCAGTCGACAGCAGTACCACTGATCTGTTCTTCACAAGAGAAATGTTGAAGCTCAGCATAATGTGCAAGTGTCCGGACACAAAAGTTAGACTACCATCAGGTCTTACAGTCGGCAACTAACGGGATCTAAAACAATAGAAACATTACAAGCTTTAACATCTTTTCTTGCTCAAAACAGCACTAAAATTATACCAGTGGGAGCTGAAGCTGAACAAAGTAAGCTGCCTTAAAAGTAGTCTGATTCTCAGACGTCCGGAGAGAGGGGCCGCGAACGACCTCGGACGTCTGAAAATCAGGCTACCTTAAAAGTTGCCGTTACGGTAGTCAAGGAACAGTTCACTCCCATTAGCGAAGCTTTTTTCACCTGGTTGTTACATTGCAGTGAATTACCATTATTATTCAAGGAAACATCATATGTAGCTAAGTGTTTTATTTCCTATTTTGAAGACTTTATTTCGTTTTAGTTGTACTTTTTTTTGCAGTATTTTGCGCTCTTATGCTCCGACATGTAGTTAATCAATAAAAGGTCGATTTGTTTTGACTACATCGCATCTTCTAGTGTCGTGCTACACATCGCCAAGCAAAAACATTGAGAATCTTCGGAAACAAATTTGACTGTTTGCCTTGTTGTGAAATAGATTTTAGTTTTAGCAAGCGACCAGCAGTGGTTTTGTGGAGAGCCGGTAATTTGAGGGGCCAGGGAGTTTGGGAGAATTCGTAACACAGCGAAAACGTATCCGCTGAAAAGCAAGAAGTTGCGTGACCCTAGCTATCTAAGAAGGGGTTGGAACTAACCCCCCTCTCCCCCCCGTTCCCCATCTGAATACCATACTCATTCTTATGAACTACACACTCTTTCAGGCGTTCAGTTAGTTGGGGTGCAGGGCGAAAAAGGCAGAACAATAAAAAAGGAAAGTGAGGCATGGTGTGAGTAGCTTTCCCGCGCCGCACTCCTCACTGTTTTCTCTCGCCATTTTTTGCACCGCTTCCAAACTGAAGCCTGAATTTTACCAAAATGTGTCTACTGTTTACTATAAATCCTTTGACGAGAAAAAGTAATCGCACAAGTCTGCACGCAGGCTAGGCCACTGAACAAATAGGAAATTTTTCAAAACAGTGCGTGTTCAAAAAATGACCACAGCTTCGAGGTCACATAACATCCTAGAATAGAACTGTTTCCCGCCAAAAGTCTCTGAGCGGGCGGTGACACTGCAAAATCTGTTACGTCATAGCGTAACAGTGTGCGGTCGCCATTTCACGTGAACAGAGCGTGGATTGATCATCAGTGGTCGCATGACTATCAACGCGGTTTTCAAAGTCAAAGGCAGAGAGTCAAAGTCCTTACGGTTGTTTTCAAAGTTTTGCAAAGTGACTGAATTGCAAATGGCGACTGCTTCACGCTTTGGTGATGTGCCGCGACAAGAAATTGCCTGCCACTGGGGCCTTGTGGAAGGCTAGATAGATTCCAGAAAGAGACAATTGGTGAGAAAACAGCCTTACCCATATTCAAAGCCTTCTTTGAAGCCGAAATTATCCTGAAAAAGACCGTGATTTGGACGAAATTTGACTAATAACAAGGTAGGACGAAACGAAATCCTTGATAATTTTTGTTGTAAGTTTTCATTTAAAGGAAACAAAACTTGAGGTAAGTGTAAGACGACAGCACTAACACAATCATTCGCTTTGGCCTTCAGCGATATTCCATCCTGAAAAGAGGTTTGACATCATTACCAACCACCGAATCTATCAAGCAGTTGTGGTTCAACTTAAACGATAAGGGTTCGTCAAAGTCGACCATCGTGAACCAATAAAGTAAGAGGACTTGGTTAAATTCTATTCGTCAAATGATCAGTCATCACAAACCTCCTAAGTCACTGCAGCACTTTGTTTGGCTTAACATGATTTATCAGTTTATTCGAAGAGGAAGAGAGCATCCTCGCCTTCACACACGAACCATGTCGTTTGCAGTCAGGGTTGGCGTGGCACAACGTCAGCAAGATTACCTCTGCTAGTAAATGGCTGAACTCGACGGAAACTGGCAAAACGATGGCCTGTTTGACTTTTCAGGGCATGGAATAATGTACGAAAGAACGTGAGCAATCCAAAATTAATCTGATGCGCAGTAAGCTAAGGCAAGCATTTGAGCATATGATGCAAAACTTGCTGTACTGTGGCAAACGCCCAGATCTCGATAACTGACTTTAGGAATTGGTACTGCAATTCGCCAGTAGGTAAGAAAAATGAAACATTTTCTGTTGATTGTAAGCTCTTTCAAGAGTGACCACAGTTGTATAAGATCAGTCGAGAGCAGCTGTATCACTGAACTCAGCTGTTGTTCACAACAGAATGTTGAAGCTCAGCACAGTCGTGCAAGTGTCCGGGCACAAAAGTAAGCCGACCACCAACAGGTCTTAAGGTCCGCAACTAACTATCACAAACTTTAACATCTTTCCTTGTCCAAAATAGCACTAAAATTATTCCGGCGGGACTGAAACTGAACAAAGTGAGTTGCTTTAAAGTTGCCGTTAGGGTAGTCAAGAAACAGTTCACTCCCATTAGCGGAGCTTTTTCATCTGTTTGTTATATTGCTAAGGAAACATCGTTGTAGCTAACTGCTTTGCCTATTCAGTTTAAACATTTTTGCTCGTTCTAGTTTATCTTTTGTACATTTTAGTTCTGCAGTATTTTACGCTCTTATGGTCCGACTTAACTTTATCAATAAAAAGTCGATTTGTTTTCAGTACGTTGTACCTTCTTATGACCTTGTTGTGTTACATATCGCCTAGGAAAAACACTGAGATTTTCGAGAAAAAAAATTGACTGTTTGCCCCGTTATTCATTTAAAAACGTTTAAGCAAGCGGCCTAGAGTGGCTTTCAGTGTAGAGAGCTAGAGCCGGGAATTAGAGGGGGCAGGGAGTTTGGGAGAATTCGCACCATAGCGGGAACGTATCTTGAAAAGCAAGAAGTGACGTAAACCCATCTAAGAGGGCGCAGGAACCAGACAGGGGATGGGACGCTTAATTACCCTGCTCCCTATCTGAATACCCTACACTGCATACCATTCTTTTAAACTGGGCTAAGCCTCTTTCAGGCGTTCAGTTAGCTGGGGTGCAGCGCGAAAAGCGGCTAGCAGAAAAAGGAAAGAGAGGCTTGGTGTGAGGAGCTTTCAAGCGCCGCACTCCTCATTGTTTTCTCTCGGCGCTTTTTTTTTTTGGTACCACTTTTAAACGCCTGCAAACTAAACCAAAATTAACTCTTGCGATCCTTGGACGACACAACCCGAACCAGTGTCTACTACAAGTGCTTTGACGAGAAAAAGAAATAATAGACGCCTGCACGCAGCCTAGGCCACTGAATGAATAGGAATTTTTCCTCAACAGTGCGCGCTCACAAAATAACTACTTGGAGGTCATTTTCTCACTAGGTCACATAACAACTATTTTCCGCCAAAAGTCTCTGAGCGGGCGGCGACATTCCAAAATATATTACGTCATAGCGTAACAGTGCGCGGTTGCCGCAGCACGTGAACAGTGCGTGGATTGATCATGAAGATGGCATGACTTTTCTATCAGCGCAGTTTTCAAAGTCAAAGGAGTCAAAGTCCTTATGGTTGTTTTCGAAGTTTTGCAAAGTGACTGAATTGCAAATGGCGACTGCTTCACGCTTTGGTGATGTGCCCCGACGAGAAATTGCCGGCCATGGGGCCTTGTGGAAGGCTAGAAAGATTCCAAAAAGAGACAATTGGTGGCAAAAACAGCCTTACCTGCATCCAAAGCCTTCTGCGAAGGAAATCATACTGAAAAAGACCGTGATTTTGACGAAATTTGATAAGAAGGTAGAACGAAACGAAATCCATGCCGATTTTTGTCAATGTAAGTTTTAAATCAAAGGAAACAAAACTTGAGGCAAGTACAAGAAGGCAGCACTAACACAATCATTCGCTTTGGCCTGCAGCGATATTCCATCCTGAAGAGCCGGTTTGACATCATTGCAAACCATGCTCAGTTTATGAAGTCTTACCGAGTCTTCAGTGGATCAGTTGTGGTTCAACTTAAACGACAAGGGCTCGTCAAAGTCGACCATCGTGTCTCAATGAAGTAAGAGGACTTGGTGAGAATTCAGTTCGTCAAATCATCAGTCATCGCAAAACCCCTAAGTCACTGCAGTACTTCGTTTGACGTAACATTCATTTAACAGTTTATTCGAAGAGGAAGAGAGACTTCTCACCTTCACAGACGAAGCATGACGTTTGCAGTCAGGGTTGTCGTGGCCGACAGTCAATAAGATTACATCTACTAGTAGTTTCCTGAACTCGACGGAAATTACTGGCAAAGTGATGACCCATTTGACTTTTCAGGGCATGGAATAATGTACGAAAGAACGCGAACAATCCAAAATAAATATGCCCAGTAAGCTAGGCCATGCATTTGAGCTTATGATGCAAAAGGCTTGCTGTACTGTGGCAAACGCCCAGGTCTCACGTTAACTGACTTTATTAAATCTGTCAGTCAATTCGCCTGTAGGTAAGAAAAATGGAGCATTTTATGTTGTAAGCTCTTTCAAGAATACCACAGTTGCATAAGATCAGTCTACAGCAGTACCACTGATCTGTTCTTCACAAGAGAAATGTTGAAGCTCAGCATAATGTGCAAGTGTCCGGGCACAATGGTGAGACTACCATCAGGTCTTACAGTCGGCAACTAACGGGATCTAAAACAAGAGACACATCACAAACTTTAACATCTTTCCTTGCTCAAAATAGCACTGAAATTATTCCAGTGGGAGCTGAGGCTGAACGGAATAGGCTTCCTTAAAAGTTGCCGTTACGGTAGTCAAGAAAAAGCTCACTCCATTAGCGGAGCTTTTTCATCTGGTTAAAATGTCAAGGAAACATGGTTGAAGCGAAGTGTTTTGCTTATTTCTTTTAACATTTTAGTTCGTTTTAGTTTATCATTTTGTACATTTTAGTTTTGCAGTATTTTATGCTGTTATGGTCTGACATGTAGTTTATCAATAAAAAGTCGATTTGTTTTCAGTACACTGTATTTTCTTATGACCTTGTTGTGCTACATATCGCCAAGGAAAAACATTCAGATTCTCGGGAAACAAAAGTGACTGTTTTCCCCACCATGAATTAAACGTTTTAGTGAGCGACCAACAGTGGTTTTGCAGAGAGCCAGGAATTAGAGGGGCCAGGGAATCGTCGAGAATTCCCATTCTAGCGAGAACTCACCCCGAAAAGCAAGAAGTGGCGTGACCCTCTCTGAGGAGAGGCAGGAAATAAACCCCTTGTTCCCCATCTGAATACCATACGCAGACTTTGATCGCAATTGCAAGTTGAGCTGCGAAAGCCTAATTCGGACAGGGCTATGGCTGTCCCACCCTGGAAAGAACGATAAATGTTTGTAATGTCCAAATAAATTTGAAAAATATTAATAAAAAAGCGCCCTTGGAGGAATTACAAACGTTTCGGGCACAGCACTTTAATGCTGATGAAGGGCTGTACTCCAAGCGTTTGTGAAGTTTAACTTTCTCAAAAGGACACATTTCACTACTTTTCTCTTCAGTCAATTTTGCAAATTAATATTCGCGTTTTAAAGTGTCACGCATCAACAAGAGAGAATGACTTCCTTTATCCAAAGTTTCCATGCATAAATATTTCCACTATCAATACATGAAAGCGTTAATGATAAGTGGAAGTATACATTTTACGTCATGCCTCCAATATAGGCTTACAATAGTAAACTTAAATGACCATGGAGAACTGGATAACTCAATTTTTGATCTCAATCTTGGCCCTTGTCAGGGAGTGAATATAAGACAAGCTCTACAAACCAGGGTCAAATAATTGGAAGATTTTTTAACATCCGAGATTCAGAGGCATGTTATCAGTGAAGGGCTTTATTTTTTTGGACGCTATTTGCGGAATTTAGCCGGGTGGCTTCTGTCCCGAACACGTGTCTACTCACGTTTTCTCGATTAGAGCTTGCGGTCCAAATGTCGTGACAACAAGCGTGACTGGAAGTGACTTTACCTAAAACTCTCCTGATTGGTCTAAATTGAGATACGTCAGCCAATCATAGTACGCGATAGTAATGAACATTGATAGCCTTTGTCCCCGTGATGACCTTCAAGCGCAGTGAAAGGTAAAAGCGTGTTCTATGTACAACGAAAGGCCAAGGACGCCTGCTTACACATGTGACTGAAAGTAACCCACAAGCCGATCGTTCGTCAGCAATTCTATGTTTGGCCGGCTACCTCTTCGCTCGGACTGTTTCCATAAAATCGTTCTCGATCGTTGTTGTGGAATAGAGCGAAAGTGAATCTTGGCGGGAATTTCTGTCTTTAGTTCGAATTTCAGCGCGGTGGTGAACTATGACCGGTAAGTATAGCGCGACCATAATCAGCGAGGAATTTTCATTTCTGTTTCTTGTACGTCGTTGTGATACATTTGTATACCTCTTTTGTTATTTTAGAACTCATGTGCGTATTTGTGGCGTAACCGAAAAATATTCCTGAAAGCTTCGTGCTACACGCAATGTGTTTGTTGGTCACTGGAGTGCCGGCAGTGCTATTTCCTTAATTATTTTCACACCAGTTTGAACTGTTTCACGACTTGAAAACGTTAATAATGCAACGGTTGAAAACGCTGAACTCAGTGAATTTTTCTTAGTGAATTTCGCTGATTTAATTATAAAGATTGAATGAAGGATTGGCATTGATCTGTCGTGCTTTCATCCATCACGCTCGCAGGACAAAAATGTATTGTAAATCACGTTTTGTTTTTTAATCTATAGAGTCTTTCAGAAGCGACTTTTTTCGACGTAGTCCAGTGCTTTCACCCTCGGCTTTAAAACCAGTATGGGGAGATTGCCTTGTTTGTGGAGATCGTGGTACCGGAAAACATTACGGCATTGTGGCTTGTGAGGGCTGCAAGGGCTTTTTCAAGAGGAGCGTGAGGAAAAATTTAAACTACTCTTGTCAAGGAAATGAAGCTTGCCCAGTTGATAAAATCCACAGAAATAGATGTCAAAGATGTCGACTGAACAAATGTCTGACCATGGGCATGAAAAAAGAAGGTAACTGAATAAGCCTAAATAAAATACAATAACATTTCCTACTTTGAAACGTAAAAATTTTGTTCAGTCACCCCAGACATCATCCATCTTCAACATTGACAGGGCGAGAAAACTTCGAAGTATTATGTCACTTCGGGCGGCGTCCATATGAAAATTTTTATTTTATTTTGTTGCGAATAGGAAATATAAAACGAATAGACATTGTCTTGTGCCTCAACGTTAGCGCTAACCTTCCGAAAACGAAGCAGAAGCTAAGTAGTTGTTACCGCAACCTACTTCAGAATTGGCGTTTAAGGGTGAAAATTTCAAGTTGTGGGTTCGACAATTAGCTTTGGACTTCCTTAAGTAAATCTTAACTACAGAGTTAAATAATCACGCTAAATGTAAATTTCAGATTTTGCAGCTCGCGCGCGTCTTTGGCAAGAAATCAAGTCTCTTGTGAACGTGTTCCCACCCGTTTGCGTGAGTTTTTTTTTGTTGTGTTTTTTGTTGCTGTTGACATGAAAAAGAGTAGCTAGCCAAAATACCACTACTTAGAAAGAGGGGGAAAACAGTTTATAAGTGGGTTTACTTTTTGTTTGGATGGTACAATCTTTCCATGCACATCGGGTTTCGTTTTAAAGCCACTTTTGACTTTGAGCCCTTTGGTCGAAATATTTGCATAATCACGTGTTAATTCACGATTTTGAGGACTTGTTCACGTGTTAAGCGTTGCGTGAATGTTTCTGCCAATCGTGCGCGCGCGGGGTCACGATTTTGAGTGTCCTAACAAAACATTGTCGGTATTTGCATAATAAAGCATTTTAGTGTTGCTAAACTCTGGGAGCTGATCTGGGAGCTGATCAAAACAACATCAGGTTATGGTGATTTATGTACCATATTATAGAACTTATAGTAGTACTTTTGTTCAGTATTGCTGCAGAATTTTTGTTGCATAGTGATTTCAATCAAACTTTGAAACTCTGGGGGTGAAAGGATTACATAACAGTCACATGTATTACACAAATACAGAGAAATTTGTTCACATGTTGCATGTGTTTTTCTGCCCTAGGCAAGGGTGACAATATCTACAAACACGTGGAAGTAAGACATAAATGCTTCTGTGAAAAAGAAAAATTACATCAAATAAATAAATAATAACAAAATAACTACTATTGAAGAAAGTGAGATCTGGTGTTCAATTTATATAATTGCATGTTATTGTATGCTATAAATCTTTACAAAATTTATTAGGCTTCACGAAGTGGCAAACATACCAGGCTGAAGTCTCAAAAGAACTGGTCAGCTCAGGAGTTTTTAAGCATTTTCACCTTGAGATCCACTTGGCTGTTTACAAGTGTTTAGTACATAGCATGACATAACAGAGTTAATGCTTGTCTTGAGAGACCATGATTATGGTTGGCTTGTAGGGCAATACTGGATCTTACATAACACGAGTAATGACAAACAAAAACATTCTCAACACGTGCTGTTAATTTGAACAGTTGATGAACAACAAAAACACTTAACATGTGCTGTCAACTTGAATGATTGAGGAACTGTGCGATATATCCAAATGTATACAGAAAGGCATAAAATATGTGAAAGAATCAATTATATAACCATGTTTATGGTTATATAATGTCAGGGAATATGATCTGTGATATACACTTGAATATGTTGAAGATAAACTCCTTTACCATGGGATAAGCTCAAAATATCCTTGATTATTTTTAAATAGATTGCAATTTCTTTAAAATTCTCTTGAATGTCCGAGGGCTTATATTTTTCCAAGCATCTCTTTTTGTTGAGGGTTATTTTAACATGGACTGAATCATTCAGAAGGGATTTTGTGTCTTGGGAACAAATTTATGTGCATACAGGTGTTGTGCATGTAATGTAGCAAAATTCTCCACACATACTGAGTCTCTGAGCTTACTGTAAGTGCCTGAATTTAGTAAGACACTAGTTCTCAAATAGGGGCTTAATTATTATCAGGGGCTCACTATTTCTCTTTGGAAAAGGGGCTTATTCAGAATATTTTTAACTGGGCCTCAGTGGGCTTATACTCTGTATGTTCTGGCCTTTTTCGGAGGGGGAGGGGGTCTCAAGGCTTCTTTTCAGGGATGGCTTATAAATTATCAGAACTATATTGGTGCCTAGGAAATCTTTGATCTCAGGAACTCATGATGAGGAACTGGCATTGTGATGAGTCTTGGATTTTACCATCTGTTACTCCTGGGGGATTTATTTTGTGTGGCAACCGAAGACTAAGTCATTTGGATTTGAGATCAAAATGCTATCCATTGGTTCAGGTACCCATGCCTGGTTGCCATGTTCTATTTTTTAGTAAAGAAAAAACATGTAGCCTGGAGGAGGAATATTTCTGTTCCCCCCTTGGATGGGATGCTAGTGCGTTGTAGGGTTACCCCCTAGCATTAAGTTTGCTGGTACTTTTTTTATAATATTATACCTGGGTGGAGAGAGGCCCTGTGAGAGTAAAATGTCTTGCCCCATTAGAACACTATTCAATGTACCTAGCCACACCTTGAACCCAGACTGCTCAAACTGAAGATGAGTTTACTAACCATGAGGCCACTGCTGTTCTATTAGTACTACACATTATCTTAACATCTTGTCATCTGTTTCGGTCTTTATAGCTGTGCAGTGTGAAAGGAAGCCTATTACTAAACGTATGGACGATGGCACAAATGAAAACCAACCAAGAACTGCAAGCCTTTCTCCCAGTCAGCATCGTTCTGTTTATCCAGGTCACCAGGAAAAGCCAGAAATTCAACCTCTCTCCCCCAGCAGTAGTTCATCACCAAACTCTTCTCAGATATCACTACCCACATTTCTTCCTTCAGAGCAGTACGATTGCATCATAAGCTCTGAACATCTTCAATTTAAACTTAACACTCCAACCCTTGGTGTTTCTTCATTATCAATGGAATATGTTTATGAAATTGCTACTCGCCTTCTGTTCCTTACAGTGGACTGGACACGGAGCATCCAGGCCTTTCGCAGTCTGGAAAATACTGATCAACTTGTTCTGCTGCAAAGTACTTGGTCAGATCTTTTCATGTTGGGAGTTGCACAATGCTCTAGTTCTTTCCCCTTGTCGCCATTGTTGACACTTGCCGCGGTTCACATGGAACGCAGTGAATGTAGTGAAGATCGCAAATCACCAGTGTTGCCCAAAGAACCAAGCATGCTTGAGAAAATTATGAGTGTTAAGGACTTGTTGTTCAGCCTTGAGAAACTTGAGTTAGATTCTGTGGAGTACGCATTCCTCAAGGCAATTGTACTGTTCAATTCAGGTATGTTTAGTCTACTTTAAATATCATTTTACAGTAGGCTACCAGCAGTTGTTCATTTTCTTTGTCCATTTACCAGGAATTGAGAAAGAAGTGAGTGACAGGACAGAACATGGTGTATTTTTGTCTTTTTTGTTCTTGCACCTTTGTTCCTTCTTACTTAGTGCTCCAAGTCTGGTGTAAAAGTAACCAATTTCTGTTTAGGGGCAGCTTGGCTGAGTAATTCATGGTGCCTTTCTTGTAAACGAGTTTGCTGTTGTTGTCCTGGCTTGAACTCCTCAGTCATGTTTAGACAATAGCTGCATCTTCTTCCTCCTACCAACTGGGATCTAATCATGTTTCATGGTTTAAACAGCCCTTGAAAAGTCCTTGAAGATGAAAAATTTAAGTTTTCTCCAACGTCTATGAACATATGAGACTACAGGATAAATAGCCATATTGATGTGGATATTCAAACTTTTAAATCAAAGATTAAAGACATTTTAAATCGCAATTTAATATTATTATTACTGTATGTGGAGCTGTTTTGATGAAGTCTAGAGTATTCAATACTCTGTGCCTTTGCCTGTCTCAACAATCGTAAGTTGTGATTCAGAGGGGAAACAAGTCCTTTAAAAATCTTTGAATAGTCCTGGAAGATAGACGTCTGGCATCTGTATGGAACGTATGTTTAATTGTAATACTTGCTCCATCTGTTTGAGTAGCATGTGTGGAATTAGTCTAGCTATACACTCTTTATTTTTTGTGAGAATATTGTTTTTCCGACCAAGGCTGAATTTTCTTATTTTTCTGCCGATTTTAGGCTGAATATATTCTTGTGAATATTCTTATACTGCAGCGTATGGCATTTCCGTTTTCGAAGCGATACTTAAGTGTCTGGATGGTATAAGTGTAATTTTGGAGCCAGCCTGCAGGCATTAGAGCATCGAACATACGGCTAATGCTGTTTTTGTTGCTCTTTGGCTATTTTTGCCGTTTAGAGAAAGAAGGATTTTATACGGTTTTCAACGCTAAAACAAATATTGACAATACAAAGAGTTGTTGACAACTTGTGACAGACTGAGACAAGCTGGCTAATTGTAAGTTCAGCTAAATTATACTTGCGTTATTAACATGCATTGTAATCTTTTTGTCCATCTTGTTTGTGTAGATTGTCCCAGTCTGAAGAACCCTAAGCAGGTTGAAAGGCTTCAAGAAAAGGCTCACTGCGCTCTCAAGCATTACGTTGAAAAACAGCACCCCTGCAGCCCCGAACGATTTGCCAAGATACTTCTTCGGCTCCCCGCAACCCGAATGTTGACTCAGCGAGCTGCTGAGGAATTGTTCTTTTCTCCTTTGATTGGAACTGTCAGGATTGAGAGTATAATGAACAACATTATTTCTAACTCGTTGACATTTTAATGTGGAAGTATTCGGTAAAATTGAGGGCAACAGAGACTTGCCATTTTGTTGTCCTGTACCCTTTTCTTTTCAAAACCTCGTATAACCTCACAAATTCTGCTAGTATATGAGCCATTTGGTGGTGGTCTTCAGATTGACAAGAACAGTGAATCAAAAGCCCGTCTGGTATACATGTAACTGAATGTACTTCACTCTTTTCTTTATAAGAATTTATCTTATAACAATATCGAGGCTGAAATATGCGAATTTTAAGCCGATTATTTTAAAAATAAACCCGATACTGAGGTTTTAAAAAGAATTTAATTTTTGCGTGTTAAAAATTTGTAAATACAATACAATTATACGTCTTAAACTAACCCGTGTACAATTTTTCCTTTCTCTAAATGGCAAAACTAGCCAAAAACCAACAAACTCAGCACTAGCTTTATGCTCGATGCTAATAACATTTCTGCAAGAAATTGCGTGTCATATCAGGCGTTATTGGCTGCAGTCTGGCTCCAAAATTACTTCAACGCCATCAAAGTCATGATAGGACAGATAATCTGACATTTTGTCGGCAAAGTCCGCTATGGTTTCCTGTAACTAATGTAAGAATATTCACAAGAATAATTTCAGCCTAAAATCGACAGAATATAAAGATATTCAACCTGGGCCGGAAAGACAATATTCTTATAAAGGAAAAGAGTGTAATCGAGAATTTCATGGCCACGAAACAGCTAGATACAGTAAATCCTGATTTCTCGAACCTCTCGATACGCCTCTCGAACCAAAATTAAATTTGTTTCCGTCTCCTCAGTTGAACACTGTAATTTTAACCCTGATTTCTCGAACTACCCGATTTTTTCAAACCAATTTCCGTTTCCCTTGGAGGTTGGAATAAGCAGGATTTCACTATACTCACAAATATATCGTCAAACGATTTTTTAAAAGAAAATGTGACATTTTGGTGCAAGCCAACTTTATAATTAAAAAAACACTACATTTTATTTTCTCCTAAACCGCAATAAGTGAAGATGCACAGAGGTATCCGGTCAGTTTTACCCCAACACTATAAGCCCTTAGCCTGTTAGCCCTCATACAGAAGTCGATTAGCTCCCAAATAAGAGTTTCCTTTTAAGCTAAATTATGCTTTCTGTACAGATGCCCCAACGAACAGCCGAGCACACGAATTCAGAACATACCGCTCAGTCATCACAACAGAACCACAATCAAGGTACATAAAATTGACCAACACAAATTACCTTTCAATATTACGCCCTCGATAATAGTGGCCACCTTTGTCGTATTGGCGAGAATAATTTACTGAGTTTAAATATGGTTTAAAGTAAAGGACAAGTGTTATTTGACGACCAATCGAGTCGGGTTGGGGGCTAATAGTCTTTTCTTGAGGGTTAACTGGCTTATCGACTTGGGTGCGCAACGACCTACATTCTGTGCAGGAGAAGCTGTTTTAATGACCTTAAACAGAATCGTCTCTCTCTAACTGTATTCCGCACTTGAAGTTTTCAATATTTTGCTAGTGCAAAGTAAATCAAAGGGAATTTGGCAAATATGAAGTGCAGTTAAACTTCATGAGTTTCTCCAGTCGCAAATCGCAGCATTCGTAAACCATAGCTCGTGATGAACGCCCGACAAGAGTGGACGGTGAACTATTCCATGTTTTGTACACTGCAGCAATCTAAATAGCTCAACAGCTTCTAGTTTTTGACTCGCGGAAAAGATTGTCATAACATGAATCTAACTGCTGCCAGTAAAGTCTTATATCAAAAGTCACAATATATTAAAAGAGCCCATGGTTATCTCCCAAGATGGTTGGCTTCCTGATAAAATCAGGGTAGACTGTTTTATAGCAAAGGAAGTAACACTTGAATGATAAAATATTATTCATATTTATTGAATAGAAATAAACATTGTTTAGACAATTGTTAAGTAAGGTTATAATAATAGCTGTATTTACTGGAGCCAAGCTATTGTAATGTATATAATGTACTATAAAGCTAACAAAATATAATACTTCTTGGCACGATCCTACGAGAATTCTTGGCTTTTGAAGCCTTCAGGAAATAAGACAGTGTAATCATATGCGTTTGTAACTAAATTTGTAACAAGGCTTAAAATGTTTAAGACTAACAAAGTCTAAAGTCTTTAAACATTTTTAGCCTTGTTTGAAAATTTTGTTGTAAATATGAAACGAATTTCATGGGCATCTGCGTTTGTGTCGTCTATATATGTAGGTGAATTTGATAGATTTTCTGTCTTGATATTCAGGTGCTCTTGAAATTTTTTGAGCGTGTGTTTGAAGGGTCTTGAAAGAATTACTTCTGACGGAGATTAAGAGTGCTTTGCAATTCTGCCAAGTACTTCGAACACTGAATCTTGTCAGTTATGTACAAATAAAAGGCTAAAACAGTACACAACCGAGCAGAACACACGCCCCGCTCACACCCTTCTCCCTCCCGCTGAAGAAAGCAGAAATACAAGGGTTCCATTACGCATTAGTGCGTGAGTGCGAAATATAATTTTTCAGGAATTAAACATACATATATTTTCCAAAAGTGATCATTTGTTGCTTGCTAATACATTCCTTGGTGAATTCTGACGAAGATCAGGTAACAAACTGAGTTGTTTTTCCTCGTCACAAGGGTCCCCGTTCCAAATTTTGGCCGCGCGGAAACTGAAGCGGAACTTTATGAATTGCGTGACAAGGACTAAAAACCACAAAATAAGGGGAAATGAAAAACCGGTAAAATGCGGCAACCAGTATCTGGTTGCCGCTTTGGGTATAAGCTGTTCTTTTTAAACAGTTGCACAGTGTGAACGACTGATGTGTGAGTCTAATATGGATATAAACGGTTCTTTTGAAACTGCAATTTAACTCACGCTCCTCCTCTCCGCTCTGATGGTCACGCAATTTCCGCGTATTCGATTCCCTACGTCACCAGTCCAGGAGTGCCGCATTTCGAAATTCTGCCTGCCTTGCTGAAGGTAACTGAAAGATGGATCCAAGCAGCTTTGAAAATATCAGGCGTGCCGTGAAGGAGCGAAACTTCAAGAACGAGAAGTTAGACGCGTTGAAGTCGACCCTCGCCTGTTCTTATGGAAATCTATCTGCCGAGCAAGTCGCTCAACTTCTTCCCGAGTTTTCCTTTGATGGTGACAAAGAAAAAGCTGTCGAGGTTTGTGCTCCGCGGATGTACAGCATGACATGCGAGCAAGCGGCGACCATATTGCGAGGTTTCTCGTTCGATAAATCGAAAATAAAAGCCTTGGAAGTTATTGCTTACCATATCACTGACAATAACTTGGGCGCTTTGGATAGCGCGCTCAGGTTTGCAAGGGACAGGAATCGAGCCAGAGAAATACTGATGAATCGATCGCAACCAGGACCAGGGGTTTACCCGGGTGCTGGACCTCCGCCCGGGGGTTTCCCTGGGATGGTTCCCCAAGCCGGAGGTTACCCCTCACCAGCACCGTATCCAGGACCGTCACCTTACCCGGGACAAAGCCCTTATCCTGGAGCAGGACCATACGGGGGGATGTGTCCTCCAGGACAGCCCCCCTATGCACCAGCAGGCCAAGGGAAGGCCCCGCCACAGTATCCTACTGATACAATGCCACCTTCCACAAGTCAGTTTCCTGGTGGTGCTATGGGTGCAATGCAGGGGATGATGGATGCTACAGCTGGTGCAATGATGAAGGGAATGAGTGATATGTTTGGACCTGCCCCACATCAGGGCCAGCACTATCCACCACAAGGGGGATACTATCCACCGCCAGGAGGTTATCCCTAGTCGGGGTATCCATATCAACCCCTAAATAGCTTACTGCTTTTGATGAGGAATATTCTACACATCATTATTTGTAGTTTAGAGTTCATGAAGAATCACTACAGTTTACTATGAATCTTAACATGATTTGGAACTGACTAGGAGTAGATAGATAGATAATCTTTATTTCAACATGGTTAAAAATTTGTCAGCTAAATAAAACTACTAATAGCTGAGTAGCCCTATTAAGGGACTGCAGAGACCATTTTAAGTGGAAGGACTAAAAAATTTGGGCAAGCATTAGGGTTCTGCCATTTATCATGTATCTACATGTCATCATATTTGCAACCTCGATATAACAAAAAACTGGGAGGGCTTAAGCCCTACCAGCCCTGGTCCCCCTCTGTGGTCCCTGCTTTTGTGGTGATTTCCTTGCAAAATGGGACACTTGAAAAAAATGCTAAGAATAAATAAGTCATATAATTTTGTATAAACCATTATGTTAGAAACAGGCAAAAAATGTAAAATAATATTTCCTGATCAGAGAATAAAAAAATGGATTTTAAAAACTTGTTTGCATTTATGGTTGTGGCATTCAATTCAAACAGTCAAGAGGCAAAAAGTGTTCACTTTCCCTGCTAGTCTCAACTTTCCCTTGCCTCAACCCAGTACCCCTTTGAGGATAGATGACTCCATGAATTAATTCATATAAATAAACATAATTTGAGCATAGTAGTCATTATAATACAGCAGTTTATAAGCCATAATGGTGTTTGAGTCTCATGTGAATAATAATAAATATGGTGTCTTAAACCTGTGCCCAAGGGTAAATCATATTTTAGACTCACTGGGTAATAGTTAGAGCCTTTTCAAACCAAGTTTCCGCAGAGAATAGGCCACAGGAACTTACTGTAAGGTTGGACCTTAGCTTTTCACTAGCAGCCCCATTTTTGTGGAACCAACTTGCCAGATGAACTTACATTAAAAATGTCTCTAAATGCTTTTTAATTAAGCTATTTTTAACATGCTTTTAATCTAATATAAGTTTTATTTTGATTTATATGTCTAGCTACGTTAATCTATGCGAAACAGGTTTTACTAGTTTAAAAAATTATCAGTATTTTTGTATGGACAGAGTTTTGGTAAAACACAGTTTGATCATTTAAATGAAATTGGTTTTTTTTTTTTTTTTTTTTGCTCTATAAATTTATATTGTTAAATTGTTATTATACAGCCATTTAAATTTTCGAATAGCATAATTTCTGGCATGTCCCAAATGTAAATTGACATGTAGCTATCGGCTGGAGCCCATAGGGATATAGACACTCTTTTATAAAAATACCCAATGTCATGATGATACTTGATTTGTTCCAAACTGAGTTTCATCGCACCTAGCCAATCAGAATGCATCTACAAGCGTCACATAAAGATTAATAACAATTGTTGTAAGGCATGACAAATCGAATAAATTCACTTCTAGGGTAAAAAAAATAATAAATAAAAAATACTTGATTTTTTCTCCATTTCATAAAAAGAAAGATGTGTTAGATCATGCATAAGTTGTTTCAGAAACATATCACCTAGACTAGGTGATATTCTTCTGGTTGTTTATCTTTTCCTTTTATACCAATCATGTACACATTGCGGATCTATATTTTTTTGGGAGAGGCCAGGCTGCTAAATAGATTAGGTCCCAGTTTTCTACGGTTCCACACGCGGGGTCGACAACTAAAATGGCGGACGGTTTGTGCATATACTGGCTAGTCGACTCGACTAGCTGTTAAATATTGGATTGAATGATATCGCAACAATTTCTGTCGACAAGGGTAGAGGTAAAAGTGTATGATAAATAGTTTCGTTATGCATAGTTGCAATATACGACCCCTACATTTGAGTAGACAACCCTGAAAGTTTATAAAGCGTCCTATAACTAAATGCATGTCTTATAGGAAGTAGTAGTAGCAATAATTATTATTTAAGCTTAGCTTAAATAATATTGCTACTCTAACTTGTACATGTAGCCCATTCATGTTAAAAGCTTAAGCTGAAATCTTATTGATAAGTGATTATTTTAAGCTTAGCTGCCTCATCGGCAAGGAAAAAACAACTACGTGGAAACGACTTTTTTTTTTCAGTGACAGCCATGATTTGATAACTTGGTAAGATGAAGGTCGTTGTAACAATTGTTTTTATGTGCTGTCTGTTTCTGGACTTGCACGAAGGTGCTATGCACTGGAAAATCCAGAACCTAAATATTCCACAAAGTCACATTCCATATTTCACGGGGAGCAAAAACCACAGTCAAGGATTCTGCAAGAATGGGGCTTGTCAGGTAACTGAAATTAATAATTAACAAACAGAAAACATGTACCGTGTTTCTATCGAGTAACTATGTATAGAAACACAAGTGGAAGTTTGAGAGAACGAGATATGCTGTGGGAACAGGAGCCGGCAGGCAAGTGTTTCCACAGCTTTTTCGGGGTTTTGACAAAACACTGATCACCTACATGACTGTACTGTTCCCCTACTGAGCTGCCCCCCTATTGACCCCCTATAAAATCAATGGTAAAAAGAAAATGTAAAAAGTCCAGAACTATCAGTGGGACTGATTCAAGTTCACAAATAAATGTAGCTTCCCTGAGATTTCCAAGGTGGCAAATGCATTAGAGATTTCTGATTCTCTTACCCTTTGATTATAAGTGTAGGTTTTGCTTATGGAAAATCAAGTACAGAATTGGAATATCATCAAGTATGGTATTCATACCCATAGTTTTAGAAAAGTAAGCAATGAAAGTAACAAAGATAAGCTGGCAAATGAATGCGTTGGTGTTAGACAGGCACATGACACATCAGCCAGAAGTCATAGAAGTGATTAAAATGAAGTTGTTTTTTGACGACTACATGCATCAAGAAGAAAGTTTTCCAAATTCAAATACTGGCTTGAGCAAAACTGGGGAGAGACAGGAACTACCATGGAAAAATCGATTTCTGGTTGATGTTTACGTATCCCATGTATCACCCATGGTCATTCGCGAGCGTGTTCATTTGCCAGCATTTCTTAGCCAGTGTCTCATTCCTTACCAAATTTTTAATGATACCATTTCATATTGGGCATATTTGTCTTTGTCAAAAACAACTACGAGATTCTTATAGTAAAATTTATTGTACTGAATTTCAGCCTCAGATACATGCAGGTCAAATGCATGTTGTTTAAGTTTGCTTAGATTTGTAATTTGTCAGACCTCAACTTTTCTGTATAGGAAAGGTTCAAGTTATTATTATTATTATTAGAGAAGATTGTGTATATGAATAAAAATAATAAGCTGTTATGTTTTTTGTTGCTATTAAGGATCGCAGTTCTAAATTATGTTGGGGATATGAAGACGATTGTGATTCTGACAATCAGTTTTCCAGACCATATTGTATCCATCATCAAAAAGCGTGGTATGTACTCTTTCTGGCACAAAATAATTGTAGTCTCAGTACCTGTAGATTTGTTTCAGGACTTTGACCAAATTCTGCTAGTGGCATGTGCACTGTTTAAGAAATAGAAAACATGTACCGTGTTTCTGTCTTGTTGTAGAAACATGAGCGGAAGTTTGGGAGAACGAGAAATGCTATGGGAACATGAGCCATAGGCGAGAGTTTCCACAGCATGTTCGTGCTATCATTATGTCATAAGCTTGTGCTAGGTCTGTGTTTCTATCAAGTTATAGAAACATGATTTTGAACCAACAGCGCGCATATTTTCTTAGGACTGTTTTCTTGACTAATACTTCATATTGTATATTACTCGTTGTAGTTCTAATCGGGCCATGAGTGGCATTTCATTACTCATACATGAAGTACATAGATTGGCCTCATGCTCGAGAGCCATGTACTGAACACAACCTGAACTGTGTACCTTTTATTCTGTGGTTTCTTCATTTTAAGTCTACTTACATTACACTAGCTGACTTAAAAACAACTGGAACACTTTATTTTCAACATTTCCATAGACTCAATTTATTTTGACAGTTGGTTGTAAAAAATTCATGATTCCCTTTTTGTTTTCAGGAGTATCAGTGTTTGGAGAACTGTGAAAAATGATATAAATCTTTGTTAATTTCTCAATTTACCTGATATTTTGTTGCTTTTTCTTTATTTTTCTATTCTTTTTTAGGGCCAAGACTTTAGAGGACCAAGTCCAGTTATTTTGGAAACAAGGAGATTTTGGTTACATTAAGAAAATGAAGGACCAGGTTATAGAGCTATGTCAGCCCAAGAAAATGGTATAGCCAATTGTGAAATTAAATGCCACTTTAGAAACAGGAAGAAATCTGGGACCAGTTTTTGACCAGTCCATGCTAAGAAGCTAAAACCCCTCTTTGAAAACCTGAGACTGAGACCTGTCCACTCTACGCCAGAGAAATTTGAAAATTATACAGTCAGCTTTATTTCTATGGTTAGGCATACTGTCCACACTAATCTGACAGGAAGACAGAGCTTTTTAAAAACGCTCTTCAAATGGAGGAATATGGAAATGTCAGCGTCGCATTTTAGGGTTGGTGGAAAAACACTGAAAACAGTCCACTTTCTGAAAACAACGAGGTCACGTTAATCATGAGATTTCCCTGACTGAGGTTTCCTCAAACACAGAATAATCCAAAACAACCAATTATTGCTGCATTTCAAATTTCTCTGCCACTGTGTGGACTGAAAACATTTGATGCACTTTAGAGTGAAAATGCCATTTTTTTAATTCTCCGGCATTAGTGTGGACAGGGCCTAAAGGGATTTTAGATTCTGAGATGGAAGAAAGATACTATGAGACTGGCTCATTGAAATGGTTTCTGAGATTTCAAGATCAGATGAAAGGTTTCTGAGACCCAGTATTTTCTACTAGGTACCAGAGAGTTTACCATCATCCCAGATTTCTTCTCAATAAAGAGAGAAATTATAACTTGATTAATGTATAAATAAAGGACAATTTACTGAATTTGAATATGATAATTACACTTTTTCAAGTTAGTGGTATATGATTGAACAGTGTCGCTGTGTTGCCACTTAAGCAGCATAATTATGATTACACCATAGGACCATAGTTACGATTACAGTTTGCAGTTTTTTACATCTTGCATCTACTTTAATATGCTGTGCAACAAATTAATCCTTAATGATACATTGTAATTAATAATTAAGTTTTACCACGCTTTACTAATCACTCACATCTAGCACCTCTGCTTATCATTATTTTGTCTTATAATTTTTTCATTTTATTCCAAGGGCGATTCCTCACTGACATGCACAACAAATCTCTGGTATTGCCATGCCACAAACATATACTTTGATTTAAAAAGCTTCCACTTTGATGCTAGTAATAACAGGTGTGTCCTTAGAAGGGTTCAGTGCAATAGTATCATTGAACATTTACTTGAAATTGTAAAGGCTTGTATCAAGCTAGCATTTGTCCAGTGCTGGTGTTGCAGTACTTTCCTGCAGATGCAGGGGTTTTATTAATATTTTCGGGCTGGTGGGCAACTGGTTTTCACAGATGGCCAAACCAGTTTTTAACTGAACTTCTCTGTAAGAAAAGCTTTTCTCTAGATGGTCAAACCAGCTGGGCAAAAACGTCCTTACAGCTGGTCAATTTGCCCAGTGCCCAGCCCTTAAGAAACCCCTGCAAATGGGGTACAGGAATGACACAGTCATGGAAAAAAAAAACTAGAAAAAACTGAAAAAAAACTGGTTCTGACCAATGTGGGGTTAAGTTTGATCTGGCAGCCTGCACAATATGTACAGTCTGTTTTTTATTTTTCAATTGTTTAAATTTTTTTTTACAGTTTTTCTCTCTCCTCAAAAGTCAATGTTTACAACAATTTAAATTCCTAAATACACTGTGCGCCTTTTAAATCTGGATAGAGGACAGGTTTTGCATGAAAAACACCTGTCAGTTCAGTAGCTCATGGGGCTTTTCCGTGATGAAAGTAAAATTGAATTTCATGCATTGAGGAAATATTTGTCAGTAAATGGTTAATTAAGAGAGAAAAATTAAAATTCAGCATTCGTGTTCAACAGGTGTCAAACCACGAACTTGAAAAATTTAGGCTAAACTTTCCAAGAGGTGAAAACAATGATGTATCTCCTGTAAAGCCACTAACAAAGCTTGACTGATGTGAGGACGATATGCTACATCCTTTTTTTATCTTGAACAGATTTCGTGAAGATGTTTTCAAAGAAGGTGAAGTTGGAGGCCACTGTCATTTTAAGAAAGATTTACACAAGAATCAGGGTGAAAACAAAAGTCCTCTTCAGTCATGGTGAGTTGAAAGCACTCTTCCAAACAGTTTTGTTCTGTAAAATTGTCCTGTTAATTTTATACCCCTCAGGCCTGCAGAAGGTGAGCTCGCCCATCCATTCACCAGTCCATTCCAAGTAGCTTCACACTTTCCTTTGTTGACGTTTTACTTCCACATTTTAAACCAGTTCCCCTCGAAAATTTCAATTACTCTCATTGGGATGGATATTAATATTTCTTCTAACTGCACATAACTACACTGTAATAACATTGATTAAGATGTTTTTAAGAATAATCCACCATTGTACAGTATAAGGATATTGCAGTGTAGCTCCAGACTGTATGAATATTAAGGTCTAGGACTAGAGTACATGTATGGCAATGTTAACCAGCTCACTATAGGTTATTTGCCCATCATTTTGTAAATTGTTCTGTCAGTTTGTGACTGCTGTCACAAGATGATGTCGATCAAGTGTCCATTGAATGTCAAATGTGTGTTGACGGAGTTTTGATAGAGTATCGTTTGAGGGTTGATTGCGGGTATCGATTGAGGGTATCGATCCAGGTGTCATTTGACACTTGGACCGTGGATGCCTTTAGCACACAATTGATCCACACAATTGTTATGGTAACACAACATGGTAACTTATATTCAGTTCTTTGCTAATCAGGTTTGCTGAACTAGAGCATTACACATCTCTTCCTGTTCAACCTATACAGGCTGGACGCTGTGATGTGATAGTAAACAGACCAACAATTTTTATGAAATTGGATGCAGGTGTGCACATTTTATACAGATATGTTTATTTTATAGTTACTGACAGTGTATATCTAGCTGCTTCAAGTGCAGTGATGGCTATCTTATAAATGATTTTAAGATGGAGATCAGTGAAGGGTTTCTGAGATGTATTAAGGAGTTTCCAAAGTGTTTCCAAGTTTCTAAAGGGTTTCAAAGCCTTTCAAAAGAATTTCTGAAAAGGGTTTCTAAAGGGTTAAGGGTTTCAAAGTATTTCAAAAGGGTTTCTAACAGGTTTCCAAAGGGTTTCAGAGTGACCTCAAACCCTGTGAAAAAGCTTTTGTGGATAAGACATGTTTTTGTATGGAGGGTCATCAGTCATTGATTAAAAGAAATATTCTGCTGTCATTGCTATGCTGTGCAATTGGCCTAAAAAAATCACAGCACCTTCTCATCCGATTAAAAGTAAAACCAAACCCAATTGTAGTTGTCACTCACACACGTTCTCCCACACCTTGCATCAGCTACACATACACTATACATGATTTACTTTGAGTTTTGATTGGTTTGACCACATGTCTGAACTGTGTGTTTCTTTTAGTGATTGAAAACTGTTCCATGATAATAATTATTTTGCTATTGACCTTGGAACTGTAAGGGAGTAATTAAAGGGTCTGTACACTGTATAATTGATTTCAGGCACCAACTTGTATCACCACTTTTGTGACTTTGTTAACCTCTATGTCACTCAGCACATGAATGGGAGTTTTGACACCGACATCAATATCCTCATGTGGGACACGGTAAGCTGCACAATTATGTAGACAGTTACTTAACTATATGAGATGGAAGATATTCAACGAGGTGTGTAGTGCCAAGTTGGCCATAATCATCTCACACCCAACAAGTGTGAGTGGAATAATAATATTGTTTGATTAAAAACGCCCCTCGAAATATTGAAAACTAAACTAAAATAAAAATAAAAAGCCCAAAAAATCACCTGTATGCTTACCATGTATTTGTAGAGCAGGCATCATGGTGTAATCAGGCTAATAACCCATGATGGCTAAGCTAATGAAAACTCTTGACCAGAAATTACATCTATATTTGTGCAAAAAATGAAGACCCCTTCTGTTTTACCTCCAATCTCAAATTTTTAAAAAAACAAGCTTGGGATAGACAAAAAGAAGATTCGAGACCTTGTTACTCTTTAAAGCACTTTTGTTTTGTTTGATTCTTGTGATTGTTTATAAGACCATAATTCGTACATCTTTTCCGTTAGCTTTTTTCACTAGTTATGTTTTTTGCAAGTTGTTACATTTTAATTTTTTGTAATTTTTTTCTTTCTTTTTTTTGTTTTTGTTTTGAAGTTGTGTCGTATGTTACCTTTTTTCAGTGAATAAATAAGATAAAGGGTTTTATTTTTAAAAAAAAGAAAGAAAAAAAGAAAACTTTTGAATCACATTATCCAATGATCCAATTCTCAATAAACTAGATCATTGAAAAAAAGCTGTTTATACTTGGATTAGTGTGAGAAATGTATCTAGTGTAGGTATGCATGTGCAATAAGTACATGTACTACAGAGCGTGTATTCAGCAAGGACAATATAATACAGTAGGAAGTATTTTTTTTTTGCACCTATCGTAGCATTATCACTGTGAATAATAATATGAATTTCCCTTTTAAGTCTGTTGGCAAGTCAGACTGTCTTTGGCTTGAAGATAACTACAGTGTATGCTGTCTGTGTCAGACATTTGTTGACTGATTATTATTGCTTATTTTTACATGTAATGTCTCTTTTTTCTGGCATTTTGCCTAGAAAACAAGAACATGATTCTAACCAGCATTGACTTAATTAACTGACATACATGTATAAATAGTGATGTTTTTATCTGTTTATTTATTTACTAGTATTAAATAAATTTATCCAGGGACATCTCTAGTTTTTAATTTGGAATAGGACCCTAATAGTCTATAATTAAAAGTAAATTATAGTAAGATAATTTTGTTACCAATATTATACATGTACAGTAGCATTCACCTGCTTTGATTCTGAGTCAAATTGGTTAATCATGTACAATAATAATCTTGTTGTACTGCAGAGCTCCCTACCCTATCGGGATTTCTTCTCAGACACATGGAAGGCATTCACAAAGCATCCTATCATTCGATTAAATGAGTACACTGGAAAGCGTGTAAGTTAACAATGATTAATGGACATGTGTATATGTCTGGATTTATAAAAACCTTGCTAATGTCAACACAACCACCCTGACGCTTTTCCAAGAAAATACACAGGCTTTTTCACTCAATCATCAACAGGCAGTCTGTCAACACACAGCCCACTCACCCACCTTGCTTGTGTCTTGTTGGCTGGCTGCCTGCTGGCCTCTAAGGCTGCAGGGCATTGCTGGCCAAGGACGTCCTGCAAAGAAAATGCGCAGTTTAACTGACGAAAATGCCTCGCTCTGTGACCCATCCCACCCCCTGGGGTTAGAGCCTGGCAGCCCCACCTGTTATCAGCTGGTAGCCAGGCACTAGTGTAAGGTCTTCCCCCAACCCTCCTTGACAGAAACCCCCGTGGCTTTTCAAGCACCGCAAAGGCGTCCCTGCCAGCTATTGCCAGCAGGCAGGCACAAAAGTTTTCCTCCAAATTTGACACAGTTTCCATAAATTTAGTCATATTTGTAAATTTATTATTAAAGAGGAATGCTTTTGGAATCGATAGTAATTGTTATCATTTGAAATGTTGCAGATTGTAGGTGAACAATATGTGACACTTTTTAACTGTTAGTAATCCTTGCCATTTTAGATTTGTTTTAAAGATGCAGTGTTCTCTTTCAATCCAAGAATGATCCGTGGTCTTTACTACAACATGCCATTGGTAATTATTACAGCTGACATTTTCAATTGGTAGTTTTTTTAATGAGTTATCTAATCAATATTGTAATTGCCATCTAATTCCAGTCCAAGTGATTATTTGAATAGCCTTTCTGCTCTGCTCCCGATGAACAAGTTTAGGTTGATTGGTTAAAGTTAGATATATTTTTCATTCACTTACCATGATTGTGTTGTTAGCAAACTGTTCTAAAACTACGTATTTCTACCCAAAATGACTGCAACTAGAGGTGTTTTAAGACATTTGTGATAAAAGTTATTACATTTGACAGGGTATTCTAAAACTTCACAGAAAAGACCATGATGTTTATTATTTCGTTAATTTGAAGTTCACTTTAATCATTGAGTCATGAATTTGCTGATTCAAGTAACAATAAGTGTGGTGAACATGTCTGTTATTCACCTTACTTAGTTTGATAAAGTCCTGACCGATTGCAGTTACTGTGATGTGCATTTATTTAAAATACATGTAGATGTTAACTGAGGTGTCGTTTTTCCAGGTTCCAAGTTGTGTTGGAAGTGGACTCTTCAAAGCTTTCACAGAGCATACTCTACACCGACTTGGTATAACACAAGAAAATCACAGTGTAAGTCCGTGGCCATGGGTATATAGCCTTCAGCTTGGCTGTAGAACAGTAATAATTTTATTCCTTTAAAAAAAAAAAAAATCATTTCGTGATGATCACAAAAGCATTGAACAAATTTAGTATTATTGTTAGTATTAACTGTTTGGTGCTATGTTTTAATTTCTTAGGATGAAGAATTTCGAATAACACTTTTACAACGGAGCACCAAGTACCGCAGAATTCTTAATCAAGATGAGGTATTATGTGGAAACATTTTACATATTAATTATTATATTTGGATGAGGAAAAGATTGTTACATTTAGTGATAATTATTTCACGGACTATAGTATTTTTGTTGTTTTTAGAAAAAACTACTTTAGTTTCCCTTGGAGGTTCAAGGAAAGGGTTTCATTTTCAATTTATATTTTAATTTATTGTTTATAAAATTATTGTCAATGTTGTGTATGTTATAATAATTTTTTATATTTGTTCTGATATTAGTGATAATATTATTATTAACATACAGCTAGTGGGAGCAATGATGAGTGTCCCAATGTTTAAAGTGAAAGTTGTTGATTATACTTGGTAAGACATTTATTTATCACTCATTTAAATGAATAATTATGTGATATAACATATTAACTAGCTAATAAATATATAGTCAAGTTGCAGTGTACAACATTTACTTCATGCAATTGAACATTATTTTATAATAATTATTGGATAATTCTAGATTATTTTTGTTTATTGTAGGAAAATGCCATTTTTGGAGCAATTGAAGGTATGTACATCGACAGAAAGGATTAATTTTTTAACAGAAGAGGAATTTAAATGTAGAGTAAAGTACTGTACATGTTCAGTGTTTGACCAAAATTTTGGTCTGGATAAAAAGTGTAGAACTTTCAGCTCTTTCACTTATTAAGTAATTACATATATTCCTATTATTACCATTGCCATCGTCACCTTCATCATCACCATTATAACCAATGTCATTATTATTGTCATTGTCATTGTCATTGTCATTGTCATTGTCATTGTCATTGTCATTGTTAATCATTGTAGAGTACTACAGTCAAAATATAGAAGAAAAGTTAAGGCTGGCCAATGCTTTACTCTGGCTCTTATAGCATTAGTGGTCAACTTAGAGTATTGCTATTCTGCCTCCCCCTTCCCCATTCTCCCTTGCCCCTTTTCCCTTGCCCCTTTCCCCCTTTCCCCCTTTCCCCCTT